AGCACCTTTTATATCGGTGAGTTATTTTGATGGAATGGCCGATATCCAATATTAAACTTTATCGCTAATATCGGCCGATACCGATAACATGCCGATAATATTGTTCATCGCTAACTTATTTGCTTTTGTTTTTATTGACTTTATCAAATGTTTAAAATCCCCTAAAGATGTTAAGGTGCAATTAAGGTGGCTCTGTGTTCTTCACAGTCTGCTACTGTATCTTGGGGTTAACAATAACTGAAAACATGATAGAATGCCCCAGCCAATCAGACCCTGTAAGCGAGACTGAGGAGGGACATATCCAACTTTCTCTCCAGGCACAAAACTAACGTATTGATCATCATAACCTCACTTTACAGTGAATCTTAGCACAGCAGCAAATTGCCCAAACCAACAACCAGGAACTTGGCAGCATGATTTTGTTTCTATCAAGCAAAAACTCTCAGCTGTCTGACGAGACTGGTTTCTGTATTCTTAATGTATTTAAAGCTTTTTGTTTGGAATTGACTAAAAACTAAAGCAGCGGGTTTGACACACATTGTCAAAACTATTCAGTCGTGTGTCGTAGATTCAAAGTTAACAAAAGCATATTTACCACTTTATTAGCACCATTAACCATTTCTTCTTGTTACGTATATCTGACCCTGTTTCTTCACAGACCAATCACGCAGGGCAAGTTTTGCCTCTGTAAGACAGTCGAGTATGGAGACGCCCCCCAACACGACTCCGCAGCCGTTCCGGCAGCCGGTGAGTTCATTATTTCATACATTCAGTTCTTTTTGAGCACATTTAAAATGTAGATTGGCTTTCTAAGATCCTCTTTAGGTCATTCCTGAAACCGTTCTGTTCATCGTTCACGTTTCGCTGTTGTGTCGATTCTGCAGAGTTTCCTCAATCGAAGGTTGAAGGGTTCCATCAAAAGGGCAAAAAGCCAGCCCAAACTGGACCGGACCAGCAGCTTCAAACAGATGATTTTGCCCCGGTTTCGTAGTGCTGATGTGGAGAGGTAAGTTCACGGTGACAAACAGAAGAAATTCGAAAAGAAAAGGAAATTAAAATAGATTTGAAAAGTTGGTGTACATACAGTAACATTTTTGTTCAAAACTTTGACAATCCATTTAGCAAGGACAGAATAAAATGAGGGAATGAGTCTATGGTTAAAAACCAATAAAAACGTTATTAGGATTTGTTATTATTAATAGGGAACAGGTGGAAGAGAGCCTGGAGAGGTGTTCTTCAGAGAGAAGAGGACAAAATCTGTCAAAACAAGACAGAATCCATGTTAAGTGAACGAGGGAGACAGGAGAACGAAGGAGTAGAGGTATCGAAGGTGGATGAGTCTGTGTTGGTCAGTTAGAGAAACAAGGCTGAGATGGTTTGAACATGTGAAGATGGTAATGGGCTGGACTTATATAGCGCCTTTCTGTCTAATCAAGCTACTCAAAGCACTTTACAATACAACCTGTGCTCGCATTTACTCATCCACACAGCACTCTACTACATCTCTACAAAGCTAATCTGAATCTCTCATCAATGCTTTATCACATTCTTACACCGATGGGACACACGTCGGAGGCAACGTTCAGTGTCTTGCCCAGGGACACTTCAACATGTGACTGCTGGTGGAATCAAACCCCCAACTCTCCCATTGGAGGACGACTGCTCTAACCACTCATCGACAGCTGCCCCGTACGGATGGAATAAAAAGATGAGGGATGGTGGACATGTTGAACAGTAGAGGTTGAATGTGGAGCTGCCAGGGAAAAGAGGAGGACCACAGGGGAAGTTTGAAGTAGTAATGGAGGATAGAAGGTTGGTGTCCTGTTTGCATACAACCAGCTGATTATTTCAGTTCACTGGAGGGTTTTGCTTTGAATTGTCAAAACATTACCAAACTTACCATGAATACTTATGAACAACTGTAGCAAAAAAAACCCAAAAGGTCATACGTCTTCAAATTAACCCTACTCTGCTCACAAATGCTGTCCTTTGAAGTTATGGGGCAGAAATACTTATTTTATAGGATTAGTCTTGCACTAGTAAATGCTACACCCTGCATTAATACATGTAAATAATGTGTTTGAAAGCATGCACTTCCTTTTGAAACTAAAGCTCTAAAGCCAAAAATTCTTTCCTGTTCCAGTTTGGGGAAACCAAGTTTCATTTAGCTAAAGTCTGGTTTGAGCAAGGACCACAATAAAGTGAATTAATGCTATACTAACTATTGTAGACATCTTAAAATCACAAGTAATTTGGCATTACATGGTTAAACAAACGGCAGCAGCAAGCTGTAGCACGACTGATGGTGATGGAAAAGTTTATAAAGAAGTCTTTGACTGTTATACCGTAAATCTTTTTTAGGTTAGAGCTGCTTTCAAATGGAGGAAGTTCATTTTGGTCAGGATTAAGCATTTTTTCCAAACTCTGCTGCTCAAAAAGCTTTTTTACAAGAAGTAAGAGATTACACTACCACAATTTAAAGTATTCCGTCAGGTTGTTTGAACACAAACAATATATTTTAACTTATGCCAATAATTTTTTATTTTGCGCTTTTTTAAAATTTCAGCTCTCTTTTGTGTTTCTTCATATATTTTGGTGATTTTTAACATTCAGCTACAGTAATATTTAAAATACAGCTTGCAGATTTCATGTTTGACACCAGTTTAATGGTTTTTAATACATTTGGCTTTGATAAAAGTCCCTTTAGGCAGATATTTTTAATCATATTATTCAAACGTAAAACTAAGCTAAGCTAAATTTTCAGTCCAGAAAACAATTTTTACACTGTTCACATTCTTAAAGTTTGCCTCGTTTCACGTCTTTTCACAGGATACAGTGTGTTGCAGCTTCATGACAGCTTTTTTTCCTTCTTTTGTTTTTCATTATAAAGTGAGGTCACATCCCAGTGGACTCTTGCTTGCGTTGTGTTCAAAATTTTATGCAGTCTTCACACAATCCAGTCACGATGCACATGTGGGAAATACATCGACGTCAGGAGGGAGAGAGTAAAAAAAACAAAAGTGCTGACAGCACAGTTTTCTGTCGCAGCAGGAGATCCATTATAGACGTATTTAGGCTGGTGTGGATGTCTAAATCTTTGAGATCGGGAAAGGACGTACCGAAAGGCTGCAACTTCTTTGGTTACAGCAAATTATGTAAAAACCAAATGAATTCTGCGGGGGCGGTGCTGATGGTGCTAAATGATGCTGGGGTTTAAGTTGGCGCCTCGATCAGCGTGCTGTCCCTCTAACCACCTCTGCCTCAGACAGCTGCCCGCCTTGAGTTTGGCCCACACACGCTTAATGCACTCGCTGTTAAGTTGACTTTGATGCAAACCTGCAGCATCCAACTTCACGCTCTGGCTTTTCCACACAGCTGCTCTACCTCAGCTGCCAAGTCCAGGCTGATCAGAGCTTTTCGGCTGTCGTTTGATTATTCAGAGCGGATCGATATTAAACCCTGTTTCCTGTGGAGTTATTAGGTGCTTTATTAGGTTGTTGTCACTGGATTTTTTTTCTTGTTTAAACTAAAAAAAGGTCATTTTGATTTTAGTGGCAGCAACACGTCAAAACGTTTGAAACAGGGGCAACAAGAGGAGGTTCAAGCAAGTGGTAGAAATAAGAAAGAGCTGGAGGAGCATTTTATAATAAATTGTGTTAATTGCAGGGTATAAAAAGAGAATTTTAAAGAGGCTGGATCTCTCAGAAGTAAAAATGGGCAGAGGTTTACCAGTCTGCCATAAACTGAGTCTAAAGATAATGGAACCATTTCAGAATAATGCTCTTCAGTAAAATGTTGCAAAGACTTTGAATATTCCATCCATCCATCCATCCATCCATCCATCCATCCATTTTTTTCTTAAAAATTGCATAATTTCTAGGTTTAAACATCTGATTCTTTACTGTGGCAGCACGGTGGTGCAACTGGTAGAGCTGCTGCCTCTCAGCGAGCAGGTCCCTGGTTCAAACCCCGGTCCAGGGGCCTTTCTGGGTGGAGTTTGCATGTTCTCTCCGTGCGTGTGTGGGTTTTCTCCGTGTACTCCGGTTTCTTCCCACAGACCAAAAACATGCATGTTAGGCTGATTGGTAACTCTGAATTGTCCCTAGGTGTGAATGAGAGAGTGAATGGTTGTTTGTCTCGTTTGTCTCTATGTGGCCCTGTGATGGACTGGAGACCCGTCCAGGGTGTACCCCGCCCCTCGCACAGTGATTGCTGGACATGGGCACCGGCGACCCCATGACCCAAAAATGGAATAAGTGGGTAAAGATAATGGATGGATGGATTCTTTACTGTTTTATTGTGAATAAAATGTGGGTTTGTGAGCTTTTTGAATCATTGAATTCTCTTTTTATTAGCATTTTACACAACGTCCCATTGTTGTTGGAATCGAGGTTATAATTTGAAATTCAGCATTTTCAATTTATTCTTCTCCAAGTGTGTGTGTGTGTGTGTGTGTTTTTAAAGCATTTTACAAAACGTTAGGGACATGTGTGCACTTTAGAAGGAGCTGATTTTTCTGGCTCTCAAATGTGTTTTCTTATGTTGGCGAGACAGAATAGATGTTCACAAAATGGACCACCTTGATAGTTGTCTTATTATTTATTTTTTTGTTATTGAACCTTAATTCTCTACTCTGTATCTTATAACTCTGCTGGCCAGAAAAAAATAAATCAATTTTCTGGTTTATACTAGCACCTACGTGTCCTGCAGAGCAGCTTGGCTGAGGTGGGGACACACACTATTTCAACAACAACCTTTTTTCTTACTGACCTTGCGTTACCTCATTTTACCTTTCTGCCTTCAATTCCACCATTTTTCTGTTCCCCTGATCGAGTTGCCCTCCTCTAAAGGTTACTTGAGGATCGTGCTTTATGTCTCCCCACACACTTTTCATTTATTTAGTACTTTTTTTGCACCCAACAAGAGCTGAGCTTGTATTATTTCACACCGTTTCCTCACATTTGGCTTTACCAACATTGCAACACACCTGCATCCAGAGAGACACCAACGAACCACCAACCATGTATTTACTATCTGTTTTTGCCTGATGCATGTTTGCATCATGTTGCATCCCTTTTAGCACTTCTTTAACCTGGGTAGCTTTTTGTATATTGATCTAAGTCACGGCTGTCCAAAGTACGGCCCGAGGGCCATTTGCGGCCCTTGGAGTGATTTTGTGTGGCCCACAACAGCAGTTTAAGAATAGTATCATTTTGGTCAGCAGGCTTAAGAGGTCGATGCAGACTTTCTGCAAATTAGTTGGTAATCTTTTTTTTATATAATGTTTAGGTTTAACAGCAAAACGGATAACAAACAGTCTTCTCAAAATGAGCAATATGAAGCAAAATACAAACCTTTGGCTATAATCTTTTTATTTTCCCTTTATGGTACAAAGGACCAAAAACCTTTACTCGTTTCTACTAGAAAGGAGATTTTTGGCTAATGATTCATAAAACTAGGCTAAATGTTGCGGTTGATAAAATAATCACAAGGGAAATTGGACATTTTTAAATGACTATAACATGTTATCATCTACATACGAGTTGATCAATTTTATCAAACCTTCTATGAATCCGTTGTAGCGCATGACAGCTGGACGATTTTCAGAACTTTTATCAGCCTTTTGGGACGTCCATGGTCTAAAAGGCTGATTAACCACCTTTAGAAGGACATTTACTCAAATTATGCTTTTGTTGCTGAGAACAAACTAAAATGAACTTTCCGAACACAAGAAAACAACAAACATAGACCCAACAAATCAAATCCTTTTTTGATAAAAAATAAGCTTAGCGTTTATGAGGCTTTAAATGTTCTGGATCTACAACAATTTAAAACTCTCCACCAAAATGAATAAACTTTTGTCCTTTCTCCAAAATATTGTTTACGTTGAGAGGTAAATTCACATTTTTGTGGCCCATGAGTCCTTTGGATAGTTTTGGCCCACATATGAAAATGTTTGGACACCCCTGGTCTAGTATGTTTCTGTTTGTTTATCTGTGGTAGTAGCTGAGAGTCATTTCCAATACATAGTGTGTTAACAGATTATGTAAGATCTAATAATGTTGAGTACAATTTTCAACCTTTCACCAAAAGGCTAAAGCTCCATCATTTTGTAATGATGAGATATAATAATCCTAGTTTTTAAACTAGTTGTTTTTATAGTGCAAACATGTTCTTGGAATTAAATCTGTTCTGCCATTTCTGCCATCCTCATTTTACAATTTGGCAACACTTTTTGCAGGAAGCATGAGAGAATAGTGATTGTTTTGTCAGCCTACTGTCTGATTGTGACAGAAAAAGCTTGGTTATTTGGAGCATGCGGTTAGGAGGCTTTCAAAACAAGGAAAACATATGTCTGATCCATGAAAGCATGATAAATAATAATAAACGATTAATACTTGTGTTCTGGAAATGAATTATTATGTGTGTATATTGTGGAACTGTGGGCTGGAATGGCCTTATATTCCTGAATAAACTATTCTTGCCTTAACTTTTTAAGTTTTAAACTCTGGCATGAACAGTAGTGGGCGACATGCAAACTTTCACAGAACGTTTGACATTTAAGTTGTGTATTTTATTGGTTCATTCTTTTAGTTTTGATGGATTTGCATGTCTTCAAAGCATTTCTGGCTTTATTTAGGGGTATCTTGCAACACATTATGACCATGCTTGTGTCCCATGTTGATCTTAGATGTTATGATGTTTTTTTTTCATTTTTGCCATTTAACATATTTAACATGAATGATGTGGTTAAAAGTTTGTTTGCAAATGCTCATTTTGCTGTTCTTTGTTACAAATGTTCATCAATGTCTCTTCAGATTGTAGTTTTAGTGTTTTTTTTGCTTCCTTTAGGAGGAAGGCCTAGTAAAATGGCACAGTAATCTGCTCATGGCTCACATAAGCTGCTGCTGCTGACAGGAAGTGCTGTTGCCATGGGAAGGTCTGTAATAGGGATGCACGATATTATCGGCATTATATCGGTATCGGCCGATATTGGCGATAAAGTTAAGTATCGGACATTGGCCATTCCATCAAAAAAACTCACCGATATAAAAAGCTTCTGTTTTAAGTTAATTTTTAATTTAAGAAACTGTCGGTATATCTATTAATGCACTACTACTTAGCCTATGTGCTTTTCAATTGTAGCTTGTGACCAGATTGAGTTTAGATTTGTGAAAATTTACAAATTTCACTGTTCAAGTGTTGTCAGTGTGTTAGAAAAAGTAAATGTCATGAATAAATTTGACATTAAACATAATCCAAGTTGAAGTGTTACATCATTTTCAGTCCCCTTTTTGACATCTGCATTTGGTAGCAGGACAAACTGACAAAGACCATGCAGAATAATGTAGTACTTTAATTCCACAGCAAAGGCAGCTATGTAGTCTCTGTAAGTAGGTCTAGGGGAAAAAATATTGATATTGGTATCGGTTATCAGCCAAGTAAGTTTTAACATATCGGCATATTGGATATCGGCCAAAAGTCCAATATCGTGCATCCCTAATCTGTAATATTATTTAGGTGGGTGTCTGTCTTCCCTGTAGGTGTCAGGATCTAAACTTTTTACTGCAGAAGTGCAAAGAAAACAAACAAAAACAAAAACTGTTACGATAATCATCATGTTTGCTTGTAAAGTTTTGTGTTTTGGATGATTACTGAGCATTAGGAAGCCACGTGAGTCAACTTACCACAACTGCAAACAACCAGAAAACACGAAAATCTGGAAGAGGGGAACGTTTCTCCAAAATGGTGTTTTAACACATTGATACATTGTGTTTGAGCTGCAGTGACTCATGTTGTGAAAACATCAAAATGCATTCTATATGTCTTCTTCTCTCACCAGGACACGCTTGATGCAAAGCTTCAAAGAATCCCACTCCCACGAGTCCCTTCTTTCTCCCAGCAGTGCTGCAGAAGCTCTAGACCTAGTTTTGGATGAAGATGCCATTATCAAGCCTGTCCACTCCAGCATTTTAGGACAAGAGTACTGCTTTGAGGTGTGGTTATTTGTTTAACCTTTTCCTTATTTGTGGTTATACTTATGTACCATAATTTTAAAGAAATTTTACATTAATTATGCAGCATTTCATGCACCACTGAAAAGCCACTTCATTCCTTTTTTAGGATCTTTGATAAACAAGGCAACCTATGAGGTAATTAGAGCTTAAGGAGTGCAGTTTGTGATGAGATTTTAATGCCAACATGCAGATATGTTCATGAGTTCTGTCTTCTTAGAGTCACAGGTCATTGGTTTTTGTAGTTCTTGAAAAATAATACAAAGCAACATAAAACAAGTTAATAGTGAAACAATTCAACAATAACTGGATTTATGTGTAAATATCATTGAAAAGAAGAAAACATAGTTGTTTTTCATAGTAAGAACACATAATTGTAGAAATGTTAATTATTAAAGTCTAAAATCCTAAAAGCAGTAATAAACATAAAATAAAATAAAAAAATAAAAGCAAAAATACACACAAACATATTTTATTATCAGCTAAAAGTAACTTTTTAAATTAAAATGAGCAAATGAAAAAGTTTAATTAGTAATAAATCTAAAAGTTGACAAAACAAATACACAACTGGCTACAATTTAGCAATGAATAGACTAAACTCAAACTTAACAACATTAACTTAAACTTACACAAACTGAACTTATATATAGATTAAAAGCCAGACGTGATAGGTAGATTTTGAATTTGTTTACAGCCCCCCTCCCCCAAACAACAACAACAACAATAATACAAAAAGAAATAAAAAAAAACTCTGCTTCATCTGACGTTCTTAGTGGCCCTCCTCACAAAAGTTATTTTGTGAATATGTAAGTTTTTTTTTGTGTGTGAATATGTAACCTTTTTATTGTTTCAGTTAACACAAAAAAGTTTCAGCAGGCACCAAAACAGTATTTTTGAAAACAGATTCCCAAGTGAAAAATCTTGAAACGTAGAAAACCAAAACACAATTTTTGGAAAACAATGATGTCACATTCTTACCTCTAATCTAACCCACAGCATAAGGATGTTCTCTTTTTCTTGCTGTGTTTGCATTTTTCACCCAGTGTGGACATTTACTGCACATGCTCAATGCCTTGTTTCATGTTTTTGGTGTTTTTTTTGTGTTGTTACAGCACTATAGATGCGCTAACATTTTTGGTCATTTTAGAGTTTCTGTGTGGATGAAGACATTTCTAGAAACAGTGCTGTGTTTACAAGAATAGTTTTAGAAACTGCAAATAAAAATATTGCTTTGTTTTAATTTGCGTACAAGACCTTACAATCAGCTGTTTCCATCTACAAACAGCTTTGGTTCTTTTCCACAGAGTCCCCTTTAGACAGTGATTTTCATATTTTGTTTTGTCATTTGTGGCTGCACGATAAAGGGTTTACTTGTATATTTGGGGCCGAGATGATGTAAGGGCAGGGCAGCCGACTCGGGACCCCAAGGTCCCGGGCTCGATCCCCCATCATTGCACATCTCATGGTGTCTCTGAGCAGGACACATTATCCCCAGTTGCTCCCCGGGAGCTTCCCACAGCTGCCCACTGCTCCACCTGGTGGTGCATGGGTTAAGTGCAGAGCTAATTTTGCCATTGTATGGGAACATACAATTATTATATTTTGATTTAGTTGCAGTATCGAATTTCACCACTAGGTGTCCCTAAATGTCATATGTCTGTACTTTAACTGAAAAGCAATTTGATCAATTCTTGATGTCCAGCATGTGGTCACCTGAAAACATATTTTAAGAACATCAGTAAAATGTGACATTTTGTCTGTAGGTAACCACAAATTCAGGGACCAAATGTTTTGCCTGCCGTTCGGCTTCAGAAAGAGACAAATGGATCGAAAATCTGCAACGTGCTGTCAAACCTAACAAGGTATTTTTTAACACAGTAGGTTTTTTTCGTTTCTTAAAAAAAATAGGCTACTAAAACTAATACCAATCTTGTGTTCAGTCAATTTACCTCCGACAAATGTAAGTAAGGACTGTTATAATGCTGTAATAGAACTCCACATATTTTTGTCAGGATAACAGCAGACGGGTGGAAAATGTGCTCAAGTTGTGGATCATTGAGGCACGAGATCTGCCAGCTAAGAAACGCTACTATTGTGAGCTGTGCCTGGATGACATGCTGTACGCACGCACCACCAGCAAACCCCGCACCGACACCGTCTTCTGGGGAGAACATTTTGAATTCAACAATTTGCCTACCATTCGTAGCCTTCGATTGCACCTCTACAAGGAAACAGACAAAAAGAGACGCAAGGTAGATTTAGATTACAGGAAATTCTTTTTTCATAACGTTTGGCTTAATTATGTGAAAAAGTAATGATTTTGTTTGGGATGTAGGAAAAAAGCACATACATTGGCCTTGTCAGCATCCCTATATCCAGCATCACGGGCCGACAGTTTGTGGAGCAGTGGTACCCGGTGATACAGTCCAGTGTTCTGGCCAAAAGTGGTGGTGTTGGAAGTACCAAAGTGATCAACGCATCACTGCGTATCAAGTCTCGATATCAGACGATGAACATTCTCCCGATGGAGCTGTACAAGGAGTTTGCCGAGTACATCACCAACAACTATCGAACACTGTGTGCAGTCCTGGAGCCGCTGCTGAGCGTGAAGAGTAAAGAAGAGGTGGCGTTTGCTCTGGTGCACATCCTTCAAAGCACAGGGAAGACGAAGGTACACACATCATCAAACTGAAACTAAACTGCACGTTTTTATTTTGTATAAACATTTTTTTTAATGCCTGTTAATACCGAGTAACGGTGTCTCATTTCAGTTTGGTTCATTGTCTTTACAGGAGTTTTTGTCAGATATGGCGATGTGTGAGGTGGACCGATTCATGGACCGTGAGCACTTGATCTTTCGGGAGAACACACTCGCTACAAAGGCTGTGGAAGAGTACCTCAAACTAATAGGTCACAGATACCTCAAGGAAGCTATAGGTAAGACTGTGTTTAAGCCTGGATGAGGATGAATCAAATGCAAAGTAAAAAGTCTAACTGTAGGAAAAAAAATCTATCACAGGTACGATTATTTACATCAAATATGCTGTAATTTCCAGACTATTGAGTGAACCTGAAAATAAGCCATGCCCACTAAATTTAAAAGAAAAAAAGTGCATATTAGGTCTGTTGCAATAAACAATAAATCAATTAATCGCATGATAAATGAAAATTATCGACTTCATTTTCATTTATCGGCTTTATCATTTCTTTGTGTCTCTCTCTTTCTACTGAAGACACTGGATGACAAAAAGCTAAACTCTGGTGCTTTTCACTGACCCCTCCCATTCGCGTTTCTCTTTAAAATCCATTTTAACTGTTCAAAATCACATTTTTGGATTGCTAAAAGCAGCTAAGCTGAGAAGCTAAGCTACAAAACTAAGCTAACAGGCCGACCTTGGGGGAAAAAAAAAACCCTCCATCTTGTCGAAGCTCCAAAATTCACGGTTGAAACCAGTGCCTTCATGTAAAAAGTTGTTTTTCTCTGCAAAAAGAAGCCGAGAACTTGTTTACTGATTTTTTTCATTAAAAGCTTTGTGTCAAAAATGCTATGCTAAAGAGCTCAAACCTAACCGAGCGTCCGCCATTTTGAGAACCAAAAAAAAAGGAGCTGTCGCTCCTTTCTTTGTGTCATGTCAAGGGGCTTCCCTCCCATTTTTCTTAAAGAGACACGCTGCTCGCTCCCTCACTATCCCATCCTTTGGTTCAAACAGTCTTATACTGCCATCCGGTGGTTGAAAAAAGGCACTACACTCAAAACAAATTAACCACCATTTCTTCTTAAATTTGACAACAATTACTCATTATTGTCATATTTCAAACAATATTATCGTTTATCGCAATAATTTCTGAGACAATTAATCAGCAAAATTTGTTATCGTGACAGGCCTAGTACATATAAATGCTGCACTTGTCTATGTTCCACCGTATCCACACTGTAACATGAAATATTTAATTTTTATATTTTTTTAAATTAAATACATACTGGTAACATACACAAATACGTACCGTATATGTTTTTTTTTTCCCCGAACAATGCCTGTAACACGGCTTGTAAAAAAAAACAAAAAAATCAAAACAGTAGCCTCGCTATCTAAGGATGACGAAGGAAGGAGGACAGCTTGTGCTGTAATTTGAGATGCACAATTCACTTATTTCCAACAACTGCAAATGCTTCCCTCCCTCCCTGGGGGCACAATGAGGAGGGGAGGAGAGAACGGCAGTGGGGGTGAGGGGGACACAGGAGGGGGGGGTCACAGTGAACCAATGAAACCAACTTTCATTAGTCCACTGTGACCTGTTGGATAATTTTCATTGGTTAGATTATTTATTTAACCTTTACTGACCCCTCCAAGCGATATGTGTATTGGGCGGCTATGTGAGCGCCTGGGTGTGACATTGTATAAGCCGTGGTGTTCAAAGTGTGTGAAAAAAGTAGAGGCTTATATTCTGGAAATTACGGTATTTTGTTATATGATTAACACTTTAGCTGATGTTGTACAGTATTGATTCCAATAGAAAGACTCCACAGATTACTGTTTTGAAAAAATATAGTTAAATTTAATTGATTTACATCTTGACATATTTGTTTGCATTTTTCCTTTTTGCTTTCGCCCACATTTCAAAGTGCATTTTACTTTTCACCATTGCCAGCTGTGTGGAGTTGGTTTCTATTAAGAAGATTCCAATTTAGAGAAAGAAGCAAACAAGTCTCAAACAACTTTTTTCATTGATCAGTTTGGGACAACTTAAAGGCCTATTAGACACGTTTATATCAGATTTAATGATCCTTGATTTCCCAGTGAGGCTATAAAGCTTTGTATGCATTTGGGTGGGGCTATGTTGTTACCAAACCTCTTCACAGTGATGTCATCGTGCAGAATCACTGGTCAGGATTTAAGATCTTGAAGACCAAAACAACAGCCAAAACTCTGAACTTAAGAGATCACAGAGTCCACAAACCAGAGGGCTGGCACGAAAGGCTTTTCATTTAGTCTATAGAGTTTATAAAAAGAACACTGGATCATCAGCAGAAATGTGAATCATGGTCTTTGTTGACAGTACAGTCACAAATAATACAAAATACAATTTACTCCCTCTAATCTGAAAGTGCTGTTAAAGTGCACATATTTGTCTAAATGCCTTCAAAGTAAAATAAAAAGCATAAAAAACAGATGGCACTCATTCAAAACTTTAGAACAAGCTTGAGGTTTTGGGTCCATTAAATATGTGCTGCTAACATCTGAAGGTTTGGTGTTTTGCGTTTCAGCTGTTAAAATCACAGCAACAAGTCTTTCATATCAAAGTGACATAATTCCTGTCTACAAACCCTGTTGTGTGCTTTTGAGCATGATTATAAACAGTTTGAAGCTTTAAATATGCATTTTCCCTGGAACAATTACATTTTAGAATCATCATTTAGACGTAAAAGAGCAAATTATTTTGTTTACACTTGATGCTCCATAAATTAGCTACCTGTTTAAATTCAGAAACGTAACCAAGCTGTGTTTCATAACCTGAAGGCGACTTCATTCGAGCCTTATACGAGTCTGAGGAGAACTGTGAGGTGGATCCCATGCGCGTCCCACCGTCAGTCCTCGCTGACCACCAAGCCAACCTTCGCATGTGCTGCGAGCTCTTACTCTGCAAGATTATCAACTCCCTCTGGTTAGTCCTTATTTCACATTGATTTCCCACCAAAACTTCCAATGTTGTTTATTTTGTTTGTTTTAAACGTGGTAAAATTATTAATATCATGTGGAATTTCTGAGCAAGGTAATATGTTTAGGGTTTAAAAAAAAAAAAGTTTTAGCCACCTAGTTGTTGTATCGTTTGTTATTTTTTAACCGCTTGTCGTACTATGTTCTCGTTTCAGCATATTCCCCCGGGAGCTGAAGGAAGTTTTTGCCTCTTGGAGAGCCAGATGTGCCGAGCGTGGACGCGAGGATCTGGCTGACAGCCTCATCAGCTCCTCCTTGTTTCTCCGCTTCATGTGCCCCGCCATCATGTCTCCATCCCTGTTCAACCTGATGCAGGAGTACCCCGCCGAGCGCACGTCCCGCACGCTCACGCTCATCGCCAAGGTGATGCAGAACCTGGCCAGCTTCAGCAAGTGAGTGCCTCCCTGTCGCCTGTCGTCCCCCACTTATGTGATCCGGTTCGTTTTTAGATTTGCGGTGCTTGTCACAGAGCATCATGGCGGAAATGGAGACCTGCAGCTTTGAGTGTGAGGGTTTAAGCTGTTACACACGCACAGTGAGCTCTGAGCCTCACTGCTATGACACATTTCATGCTTTCACTCTGCACTCATATGTTTATTAATACTCCAACAAATTATTTAGGCTTATAATGCACCTGTGATTCAGTAATTTAAAAAAAAAATAGTGGTGAGTAGTGCAAATTTATTAAACTTGGTCTTAAAACGTTTGATGACGTGCAATATGTTTCACAGCCTTGTAAAACTTTTTTATTTTTCATGTGACTGAATGTAACTTATTAAGCTGGGCTTTGTTCTTATTTTGCAGTTTCTTCGAAGTTGCACAGAAAACTGAACTAAAGAAGCATCGCAAATTTAATGTTTTGGCATTCCTGAGGTTTCTGAAGCAACTTGGAACACAAAGCTAGTGCAGTAAGCTGCAGAAACTGAAAGTTCAAAAGTTCAAAAGTTACTTCCACTGAAATAGATATACTGAATGGCAAACTACAGCATAGTGTGAAGCAAAGTGAGAGTCTGTTCCGCCATCTTGCTAGGTGCTATATGTGCATCATAACCTACTGCCAGTATGGCGTCAGGCCAGAACTATCTGAGAAAAAAATATCTAAACTCAAGCAAGAAGCCTAATGTTTTTGCCAATAATTAATGCCATTATCAAAACCTGCACTTTAAAGAGTGTTGTTTTACATTTCGTAGATGAAAATGGCACCATATTAGCTCATTAAATGTGACCATTTTAGCTTCGGTGTGTTTACTTTTGCTTTCTGAATTCATAAATCCAAAAAGATATGCACTTTACTTTTGGATATGTAAAATAGGTACGCCAAATTATTCTGAAATGGTGTTTAGGCTAGACAGAAGCATGATTATCCATGTTTAAATACTGAATTGCATGCTCTTTACAAAACTTCTAAATATTTTCAGAATGATGAAGAAAAGAACTACAATATATAAATTGAAGTTGTTAGTTTAAATAAAATTAATTACAGACACCGGCAGCAGAGCTCTGGCTAGAAGGTAAATTCTTGCTTAACGTGGGCTGTTCTGAGAATGATTACTGCACCTGGTAATTTTACCAATTTACCTAACTGGTATGAAGTGTCAGCTTGTAAATAGTCTGTTTTTGAGGGTGCCTATTGCTTGAGCCATGATTTGCCATCAACTGGTAATAAGAATATTTCTCTACAGTCAGTGTAAAGGGGACTGCTGTGCCACTGATAAGGTTTGAAAGGGCTCATTACAGAATGCTCTTGCCTCCTGTTTTCACAATATGCATGACGGGTTGAAGTCTTACTGTACGTTGCTAAAGTATTTCAGTTGTACTATATTTTTATGTTGGCAATTTACAGCAAATCTATTTCACAATCGGCGCAAAGAGGAAAATATGACAAACATCAAAAGTGTCAGGCTTTAATACTTGAAAAACACAAAGTAAATTAACAGCAGTGAAAACAATAACACGTTTTGAGCTGAATACATTTGGTTAATCAAACACCATAATGTACCATATTTTTTTTGACTATAAGGCACACTTAAAATCCTTTAATTTTCTCACAAATCGACAGTGAGCCTTATAATCCGGTGCACCTTATAGTCCGAAAAATACGGTAATAATTGTTGTTTTTTTGCTCAGATTTGGACCCAAGGAGGAATATATGTTTTTCATGAATGAGTTCCTGGAGATGGAATGGGGCTCCATGCAGCAGTTCCTTTATGAGATTTCCAACATGGACACTGGAGGAAACGCCGGAGGCTTTGAGGGCTACATCGACCTGGGCAGAGAGTTGTCCATGCTTCACAGTTTGCTGTGGGAAGTCATGGGTCAGCTCAGCAAGGTGCGCAGGTCAACACCATCAGATCAGTTACTCTTTACTGTTTCGTACTTAAAACATGAAAGAGACAGGAGATCCATACCATGAACACCATAAAAATAAACTGCATTCTAATTTTCTTTGCTATAACAATAACTTTAAACTTTGTAAGAGTTATACGATATTTTATGTTGTCTTTAAGTTGATGTAAATGTTCATCCAATGATCTTTTTCTGAATGTTCCATTAAAATCTTCGATTAGAAAATAGCAGCTCAGAATATGTATTGGAGCTCCATCTAATCTAAGCTACTACCACCAAATTACATCTTAAAATCTATAAATTGACTGAATTGTAACATTTTTAGTGTGATTCATGCTTTTCATTGAATGTCTTTGCAATTTTTAAAAAAAGTCGTCCTTCATCCTTTTCACGTTTACTGCAGCTGGCAGCGTTTCCTGTTTGTGTTTTTGCATCATATATATAAAAAATTGTTCGTGTTGTTTTGGTTTGGACGCTGCAGGATGCCATTCTCAAGCTTGGACCCCTGCCTCGGCTCCTGAACGACATCAGCGTCGCCCTGAGGAACCCGCAGCTTCACATGCCCACGAACCACCAGCCGGACAGACCTCAGGACAGGCTCTTCTCTCGCCCGTCTTTCAATCGCCTCATGTCCTCTGACTTCCAAAGCCTTATGATGCGTGATTTAAACAGGTGCGACCCCTGTGGTTTCTAACCTGCCTTTGTCGTCCTGTGTGGCCACGAAACAGTGTTTGCACGTCGCTGAACAGAACAAAGTGCCAGCAGGATCGGCCCCTGCTGTGGCTCTCTATAAAGACACTGTGCACGGCCACGATTGCAAGTGTGCACCTATGCTGCATAAAGACAGGATTTGAAGCTCGGTATGACTGTTCTTAACCAAAATTCAAAAATATACAAAAAAAAAAAAAAAAATCTAACAAAAATTATAGAAATTGTTCACTGTGCTAGTGCAGTGTGATTGCTGGGTGCTAAAAGCTTTGCTGACCTATGCTGAAGAAACTGAAATGGAGTTGTTAAAACGCAGAATCATAACACAAGTTAAAACCAAAGTAGCAAAACACAAGCTAATAGCTAAAAGTAGCAAAACACTAGCTAAAAGTAGCAAAACATTAGCTAATAGCTAAAAGTAGCAAAACATTAGCTAATACCTAAAAGTAGCAAAACGCTAGCTAACAGCTAAAAGTAGCAAAACACAAGCTAATAGCTAAAAGTAGAAAAACATTAGCCAATAGCTAAAAGTAGAAAAACATTAGCCAATAGCTAAAAGTATCAAAACATTAGCCAATAGCTAAAAGTATCAAAACATTAGCCAATAGCTAAAAGTAGCAAAACACAAGCTAAAAGCTCAAAGTTGCAAAACACTAGCTAATAGCTAAAAGTAGCAAAACACAAGCTAATAGCTAAAAGTAGCAAAACATTAACCAAAAGCTAAAAGTAGCAAAACATTAGCTAATAGTTAAAAGAAACAAAACAGTAGCTTAAAGCTGAAAAAAGCAAAGGCTAGCCAAAAGCAGCAAAACACTAGCTAAATGTTTAAAGTAAAAATGCAACTATCAAACTATTAATAATACATTACTGATAAATATGTGCTGTAAGAAATACTTTACTACAGTAATTAAACAAGTTTATACTTCTTACTGCTCCTTCTTGAACAGATAAAACGCTAGCAAGTTTTTTGTTTTTTACTTATTGTTTTTATTGTTTTCATCTAACAGCTTTAGTGCACATTTCTACTTTCATATGGGTCTGTGTATTTAGTTTTTTTTTTAACTAAAATTATTTGTTGCAAGGTTGTTTTATCATGTATAAATAAATAAATAAACAAATAAATAAATAAACAAACAAACAAAAATAGAGCAAGTATGATGACGCAGATTTAAATGAAAACAGTGTTTTTGAAAAATAAATTGAACAGATCTCTATTTCTGAAGGGAAAACGTTTGTAAATAAAGGTAACATATTTAGAAAATTATAAATTTAAAATACCCATTTTCCAAACAAGATTAACGTTTTGATATAAGATGTTTGTCAGCTACACATCCTACTGCATCCTGACTTGCAAGGAAGTTATTGATAAAGTGATAAACAACCATGGGGTTGGGGGATATGTCAGGGGAATTTAAATAAAGGTCATGGATGTTATCACTCACTTAAGTTAAATTAATGTGTGTGAGTTCAGAGTTGTTTTCTTCTCCGAGAGGAGCCTGCGCACCTGATAACTCCTGACGCCTCCGAGTCTGTAAGCTGGCAGACCGAGGTCATCAGTGTCTGTCTGATAATCATTTTAAAATCACTTCTTTAAACTGTTCGTAGCTGACCTCGCAACCGGAGCTTCAATGTAACATCTGTGTAAGCCTGTGTGTGAACTCTGACCCTTGCACGTCGTAAACCGGATAAAATCTCGCGTCCTCAGTGTGGCTTATTTTCAGACAATTATTCATCCAACAATGTGTATAACACATAGTAAATAAAAGCAGTTAGCTTGCAACATATGTGGAAAAATAATACAATCTAAAAAAAGCAGGAACCCAATAGTGTGAATGTTGACAGGATTCTCACAAAAAGGCAACGGCTGCAGAAGAAGAGTTCAGCAGCTCACAACACTGATGCGTTTCTAAAAGCTCCTAATGCACCTCATCAGGAATTCAAAGCAGTTTATCAATCACTAATTGCCATCACCATCTGTTTGCACAAACACTCTCTTACATAAACCTTTTCCGACTTTGTTTTAATCCACATCAACACTCTGGGATCGTCAAGAGACAGTTACTGGATTAAAGCTTGTTTGAATGAGAACTCTTTAAGGAAGACAAATGGCATTGTTGGCATCAGAGGGCTGCACGGTTCGAGGTGGAGCGGTTGTCGTTCAATGAGAGTGGCATAAATCTGCTGCCGGCTGGTTTCAGGAGGGCGAAGATCAAACGCTCAGAAAGGAGAGCCAACAGGATGAGTGACACACCTGCTGTCACCAGTCCCTGAGGTGTCACTCTAAAATCCCCACTGGAGTTTTTATGTCCACGAGCTTCATTATGCAATGATTGCATAACTAAACCTAGTTGATGCATGCTGTGAAACCAACAAACTCTGCACGCCCAGAATCAAAACCTTCAATAAAGCAACATGAAGCTGAATTTGATGATCTGACTCCGAACTTTAATGTAACAGATTTATGACTTTTTAGCGACACTGTTTTGTCTGACTCGTCTGCAGCTCAATAGACATCTCCCGCCTTCCATCGCCCACGACCGGCATCTCGGCTGTAGAATCCCTCTCATCCAACCTGAACATGAGGCGCCAGGCTGAACGCGATCTCCGCACGACGAGGGAGGTGTTCTATGTCACTCGTCCACCGCTGGCTCGATCCAGCCCTGCGTACTGCACGAGCAGCTCTGACATCACAGAGCCTGATCCCAAGGTAGACTGTTGAGACCTCGCTTTTTGGTCACGTCATTTACAACAAAGTACAAACGAAATATGCAAAAGAAAATAAGGATTTAAGTGATGCATGTATGTAAAAACGAAATTATTGTATTTTTCGCCCTATAAGTCAATTTTTTTTGCATAATTTGCATGCCCTGCAACTTATAAGCCGAAGTTACATATTTATAGATTTTTCCCATATTTATAAACCAATTTTTGGCTGAGATATGACCGTTTTCATTCATTCTGACTGAAAATATTGAACACTACCATTTTCAGCCACTAGATGGCATTCGAGTAGTAATAATGCCATTGTATCATGTAATATGTATAAGTGGCTATTAATGACACAATCGGCTTGCCATAGACTGGCACCTTTGTTCTGCTTGCTGCTTGGAGCAACCATCAAATTCGCTGCATTTCGCTGCAAAATGCAGCGAATTTGACCATTAAAGTGCATTTATTAAGCAAAAGTTCGACGGAGACACACCTTTACTATAATTTCGAGAAAAACAAATAACTGTTTTTAGGTTTTAATCTTGTGAAGTTCTTATTAAAGACCTCCCGTGCATGCTCCCGCTGTCGCCATTTGGCAGCCAATCGATTTTTATCACAACACCGGCCCACATTTCTGGGTTGTCAGCGGTGACGCATAACAGATGTGACGTATACGTCGATGCAACGTATTTATGATTTTTTTCCACTTCATTAGACATATTTGGACTGATGCGACTTATTGGGTGGTGCGACGTGTACGGTGGCAAATACGGTATATGGTCTTGCTCATGTTTAAATGCTTTATTATTTATAATTCAACTATAAAATACTAAAAATTATATATTTTTATGTCAATTTAGTGCAAGCAACATGTTCCAAAGAATATTCAACAACGTCATCAAAGTTCTTGTTATTTTGTGTGATTTGATACAAAAACATGGCGCAATATTTCACAACTGATTAGGCTAATTGTCAAAAAGTCTAAAGTTCAAAGCTCTGTAGAAGACTGGTGTTGGCAAGTGATTTAACAATTTAAAAGTAAATTTCCTCATCAGGAAATTCAGAGGCAGAAGGGATACGATGGAACATCAACACTCATGATCCTCTTTTATTACTTGATGATAATCTGTTGCCATCTAATGTCGTTTTCAGGGAAAAAAGGTTTCAGGTGACCAACAAGTTTGGGTGCTAAATTAAGAAAATCAGACCGGCCACCCATTAGAAACATTACAATATGGAGCAAAAAGAAAAAGGAGATCACAAACTACTGAGTAGCTCATTGAAAAATAAAAGTGAAGTGAAAAGATTATGAACAAATGATATCTTACCTGCTGTAGATAGCTTTTTGATCAGCTTATTTAGAGAAAGTGGAGTTTAATTCTGACCAGAGCTAACGGTTAGCCTGAGTGGGACCAAGAATAAAATGCTTTGCTGCCATTTTTAAAGTATTTCAGTCTAAAAAAAACATTAGCAGTTCATGCAAAAGCTATTTTTAAGTGTTCGTTGCTGGCAGTTTTGCATTATAAGTATTTTGTTTTTTTAGAATTTAATTATTATTTACAAGTCCAAGTAGTTGCAGCAACCCTTATACAACACTTCAGGTGCAGCCTGGGTGCACTTTCAGCAGAAATACAGTATAATGATTTTGTTAGAATAATCAAGTATAGTCTGATGACAATGTAAAAATAGAGGATTACGGCAATCCACTTTAGCTAGTCTCAGCTAATATCTCAGATTAGCTGTTAGCTCATCAGTCTGCTCAGAAGAAAACTATTTCTCCTAATGGAGGTTGTTTAAAGCAGATAGTACATAAGCTTTTTGCTAAACGCCACTTTAAACAATCTGAACTATCAGTTTACTGTATGTGCATATTATGAATATTTAGAAATACTTTATAGTAACCAATGACCTACAAATATACAAACGTATATGTCCAAATGTGTCAGTTTATGTGACAACTCATGTTAGAATGAAACCATTGGTACCAATAAATTATTAATGGGTGTTATTTTTTTGTTTATTAAACTAACAGACTGTGCAAAGATGCATGTATAAACTGTTGAATTTAATTTTATCTGTAGTCGTTGCAATGTTTGTATTGCTTACTGAATAATTTTTTTCATGTTGTAGTTAAAGTTGATGTGTTTGCTCCTAGCTGTGCTGTAGTAAAGTTGTGTGTGTCTCCCAGGTGCACAGTGTGAACAAAAGCGTGTCCATGATGGACCTTCAGGACTCTCGTATGAACAGCATCTCCAACCTGAACTCAGTGGGGGACATGCTCGCATCTTCCCAAGCTTCCATCGCCGGTCTCGGCCATAGCTTTGGGAACCTGGGCGGTCCTCTACGTATGGGAGGCCACTTGCCGCCAGGTTCCTCTGGTTCTGGTCTGAGACTCAGCCAGATGGGCCACGTAGGGGGGCCCACAGAATCCCTCTCCCAGCAGCAACAGCAGGCGGCAGCAGCCATGAACTTCCCCTTGTCTTTCCAAAACCCTCTATTCCATCTGGCTGCTCAGAACTCTCCGGCTCAGTCCCAGCCTCATCCTCCTCCTCCCCCTCTTCTCCTCACCCCCGAGCACGAGAACGGCCACCCCGACTACCCGCCCGCCTTTGGCAACAGTGCGTTCTCCCGCAGCGAGGACCTGTCGGCCCTACAGTCACAGAGCAGCCTGGTGCAGCCCAGCATCGTCCACTCGCACAGCTACAGTGATGATTTCACCCGGCAGAATCAGAGCAACGACTTCGCCTGGCACCAGCTGTCACTGCAGGTGCAGGTAGGAAACTCTCGTATTCTCACACTTTCAGAAAGACGGTTACACATAATGACATGCGGCATTTGTTTAATGAAACACAAATGCAGCCAAAAATCAAGGCCTGGCATTCATGGAAGGAATGCCTATCATCCATCGCCTGAAGAATAATGGATCTGTATCTGAGGGAAACTTTAAAAATAACATGCACAATCATACAGTATTGTAGTTGGACATGCTCAGATTTTGTGTTGTAAATCATGCTCAGCTACTACCACTAATGTGGATAAGCTGTGGAAAGCACCAGGCCTGTTGCAATAAACAATAAATCAATAAATCAAATGATAAATGAAAATTATTGACCTCATTTTCATTTATCAGCTTTATCGTTTCTTCGTGTCTCTTTCTACTGAAGATACCGGTTGAAAAAAGCCTCAACTCCGGTGTTCTTCACTTACTTCCCTTCCTCTTTTCTCTTTAAAATCCGTTTTAATTGTCCAAAATTGCGTTTTTGGATCATTAAAAGCAGCTAAGTTGAGAAGCTAAGCTACGAGCTAAGCTATCAGGCCGACCTCGGTCAAAACCTCCGTCTTGTAGAAGCTCCAAAAATTCACGGTTGAAACCCGTGCCTTTGTGTAAAAAGTTGTTTTTCTCTGCAAAAAGAAGCAGAGAACTTGTTGACTGATTTTTTAAATTAAAATTCTAGTGTGAAAAATGCTATGCTGAAGAACTCAAACCACACCGAGCGTCCGCCATTTTGAGAACTGAAAAAAGGAAGGAGAGACAGCCCATGTCACGTCAAGGGGCCTCCCTCCCATTTTTCTTACAGTCATGCTGCTCGTTCCCTCACTATCCATCCTTCGGTTCAAACAGTCTTATACTGACATTTGGTGGTCAAAAAGGTACTACACTCAAAACTAATTAACGAACATTTCTTCTTAAATTTGACAACAATTACTAATTGTCAAATTTCAAACAACATTATCGTTTATCGCAATAATTTCTGAGACAATTAATCGCCCAGCAAAATTTGTTATTGTGACAGGCCTAGAAACCACCCTGAGTTGGATTGACTCTGAACATTAATAATTTGTAGATGTCTGATCAGTGAAAATTATCTGAAACTTTTATTAAAATCTGTCATGTGTGTCACAAGATATTTTGCTAACAGACAAACAGGGTTAATTTTACCAGGTAATGCTTCAGTTTAAAGCAAAGCTCGCACTCAGCGAGCAGCACTTGAAATACTGTATATATTGTGGATGACTCAGCTACAACCTCACCAATCTGTAGCACTAAATGGGTAAAATATAGTAATTTTTGTGTTTTTAAGTTTAGTTTGTTGTAGTAGCCATCTTCAGTTTGGTTGTCTCCAAACGGTAATCAGCTGATAGTAGTAGTAGATGATTGTAGATGTTTACCTAATGATTACATACTAGGTATTTCATTGAAATTCGTCCATTGGTTCATGCGATGTTTTGCTAACAGTCATCAAGGTTGACATTTACAGTTAACGTGGAAGTTTTAAATACATTATTGTCCAATGTGTAGCTCTCTGAGTATGAGTTAAGGATAATGCTCAGGCACTACAAGGATTTTTTATTAGAAACATTTCTTTAGTCAGTACAACCTTCCACGCTGAAGAGTTAATGTTGCTTTCACAAATAAGTAACTAAGGAATGGTGCATTCATTGGCCAGGGGAAAACAGACATTTTATGGCAGCGTACCTATGATGTATTCACTTACACCCCTAAAAATTTGATTTTTAAGTCTTAGTCCTGTTTGGTCAGGTGGTAAACTGAATATGATCTGACTTTGTCATTAGCCAACGATTTGGTGCATTTTCAATTTTAGTTTGTGCTGTTTTTCTGAATAATTTCCAAGCAAATTGTCCAACCATCTTTAAACGTCATCATTTATTTTGTTATTATTTCAACACCTTGGCTAAGTTGCTGAAATCTGTTGGAAACTTGTGAAATGTCTAATCAAAGGCTTTGGGTTGAGCACCATAATATGCAAATGTAACTGTACTGTAGAGGTACTTGTGATGCTGCAGACGAGCTGGAAAGCTCACCCGCCTGCTCTGCTGAACTTTGCAGAGTGCTTCACAGCCATCATGCTGCGTGTCCTCGTTTCAACAGTGTTGGTTATTAGCTGTCAGCCAACAGGGCAGATAAAAGTGTCAGAGCCACTGATGCTACACGTTATCGTCAGCTTTCTTAGCCGCGTGTGTCCAGAAGATCTGCAGTAGCGTCTGCCTCGAAGAGCTAAATCAAACAAGAAACCTCTCATTTCAGGAACACGTGAATTTCATCTTTAATGAAACTGTCGGGAGTTTGTGTTTTGTGACTGTGGTTTGATGGTATGCATACGGGCTCTTGATCCATTACACTGATGTTTCTTTGAGACAGTGTAGAATTAGAATATCTTGATGCTGTCATGTAGTCATGAGCTATTTATGTCCGGCTGTGTGAGCTTTAATGGAACAAACAACATGAGCCACCTGCTTGTTTATACAGATGGTGCATTCAGGACAGTGCATTAAGAATTAATATGCAATCCTTCCATCTAGTTAAAAGAAAAATACCTATTTATAGCTGCAATCAATAGCTGTATGGCAAACACAGTAAAAAAAATACACATGCAATGAATGACTGAGCTGATGAATAAAATATCAGCTGAAATCTTAAATCATCAAAGCTCATATTTCCATGGGCAACTTCTGATCACTGCTCTACAAGAGGGAGTGAAATTGAAACAAAAGAGATTTAGATATGCATTAGTCCTAGTTCTGTAGGTAATTACAAAAGATTTAAAAAGGTTTAAGATTTCCACAAACTTCAGACCAATGTCAAAATTAGTTTTGTCCACATGGTAGATGAACTCTCCTTGAGGAAAGTTCAGTTATCTGGGAGAGACTCAGAGTAGAGCCACTGCTCCTCCACATCGAGAGGAGACAGTTGAAGTGGTTCTGGCATCTGGTAAGGAAGCTCCCTGGATGCCTCCTTAGGGAAGTTCTCCAGGCATATCTACACACTGGGTACGCACGAGAGAATGTCTCTCTGGCCTGGGAACACCTTAGAGTCCTCATACAAGAACTGGAAAGAGATGTCTGGGCTTCCCTGCTCAAGCTGCTGCTCTCGTGACTCAACTCTGGGACAAGCGGAAGATAATGGAAGGATGGATCCAGACATGCGTTTCCCCAGTGACACACTCCAGCACCTTTTTAGGGATTCCAAGATGTTCCAAGGAGAGGTATCTTGAGAGGATGCATAATCTGTCCAGAAGAGTTCTGAGTCTGCCTTGGGATCCCCTTGAAATGGGACATACCAAGAAAACCTCCAGAGGGAGGCACCCAGTAGGCAATTGGATACCTGAACCACCTCAGGTAATTGTTTTAATGTGGAAGAGCAGTGGCACTACGCCGAGCTCTCCTAGGGTGACTGGGGTGTGTCGCTGCTTTATGTGAAGGATTTCAAGGTTGTTGGAGAGATGGATCGATGAGTTGGGGCCTCGTCCATATTAATGAGGGCGTTGGTCCAATCTGACGTGGTAAAGAATGAGCTGAATAAAAGGCAAAGCTCTTAATTTACTGGTCTGTCTGTCCCAATTTTCGTTTATGGTCTTGAGCTGTGAATCATGACCGAGAGAACAAGATCCTGGATTTAATGGCCTTTAATGAGCTTCCTCCATAGGGTGGCCTGGCTCATAACTTTGAACAAAACAATTCATATACAACACCTGTGCAAATATGGATAAACTTGTGCAGTACTGGGGTGCTGTTTGTAAAGTTATGGGTTTACTCAAAACTATGGGTTACAATGGGTTTACTTACAAATTTGTTTAACTTTACCAACTGTGTAAAGTTACACAGTCAGAAATTAACAGTAATCTTTTGGTTTATTTAGCCTTTCATATGGAAAAACATTTTTTTTTTCAAGGTCATATTTTCATCATGCTATTCTTACATTTATCAATGTTGTAGTTCCACACTAAATATTTAGTTTACAAACTAAATGTTTATGGCCAAGCTAAACATTTAATTTACAAAAGAAATTAGTTAGACAATTAAATATTTATCTTGGAAATTAAATGTTTAGTTTGAAAAATAAATATTTAGGCCTGAGTTAAATATTTAGTTAGCAAATGAAATATATATTTTGGAAATTAAATATTTAGCTTGGAAAAATGAATATTTTAAGTCCTAGCTAAATATTTAGTTAGCAAATTAAATATTTAGTTTAGGAATTAAATGCTTAGCTTAGAAATTAAATGTTTAATTTGGAAATTAAATATTTAGCTTGAATAATAAATATTTAGTTTGGAAATTAAATGTTTAGTTTTGTAAAAATATTTAGTTAGGAAATTAAATATTTAATTTACACCTAAACATTTAGTTCACTAATTAAATATTCAACTTGCAAGTTAAGTATTTAGTTTATAAACTAAATATTTAGCTTTCAAATTAAATATTAATTTGGAACTATGGTATTTATAAATGTATGAGTGACATGGTGAAAATATGACTTTGAAAAAAAAAAATTTTTTTAAATGAAAAGCTAAATAAACCAAAATATTGCTGTTAATTTTTGTCTGTGTAACTTTACAAATGGCACCCCATATAGTTCATGCTGTTTTGCCTTTGTTTCCAAGTTTCCCAAATTTGTTCTGGTTTTCTGTTATCTTTTGCTTGATCTTGTCTTTTTGTTTTCAGGAGTCTCTCCAGCAGCAGCACCTGATGGGAGTCACATCCCAGACAGGTACTGGCACTGGGACGCCAGCATCCTTGGCCACACCTCCTACTACAGTTCATCCTGTCCGCCAGACATCCATCGCCGCGCAGCATCTCAAGTCTCAGCGGTCCATCAACACTCCGGCCACTGCCACGCCCCCAAAAGTTCGTCCTCAGAGCAGAAACCTCCTCCTCAACTCCTCTGACCCGAGCTTCAGTGGCAGCCAGCCCAAATCACGCTCAAATAAACAAACAACACCACAACAACAGCCGCAGCAGCAACCGCTACCGTCGCAGCCGCAGCTGCCATCGCAGACACAACAGGAGGCGCAGACAGACAGCTCAGCACCTGGGCTTCCCTTCCAGACCAGCTCTGCAAAGGAGAACCAAGTTCCAGCAGCAGGAGAGGAGTCGACAGACACCCCCACAAAAAGCACCAAGAAATCCCAACAGTCCCAACTGCAGCCGCCGCAGCAGCATCTACTCAAACCAGTTTCCAACAAACAGGCGAGTCAAGCAAACCTTCTACTCAATGATAAAACAGTCAAGAATAAAATATGAAAAATTAAAATCAGAATAAGCTTTATTATTATTGTACCAAGATATAGTGAGATTATGTTCGTACAGTCGTCCGGAAGATGGGCGGAGCGCACGTTGCTGCTGCTAAAAGAGCACGACCGCTTATCATTTATCAAATTATTTTAGATAGAAAAAGTGAAAAACCATGAGGATGGATAGTGGTTATTACAAAAAGATCTCTTCACATCTTCTCCTATCAGGACATGAATTAAGACATCAAAAAACTCTACCAGCAAGCACATTTATAGACGCATTACATATGCATTTGACATCAAGATGGTGAGATTTGTTCATAAAACACTTCCAGAGAGGCCATAGTCCTGATAAGATGTTAGTCAGCCAGCAGTTTTTTTTTAATTAAAAAAAAAAAAAAAGGGGGGGGGGGGGGGAGGGAGGGAGTTGATAGACAAAGCTTTTTCCTTAGTTACCCATGTCTCAGGAGAAATTTGATAGTCGGCCTGCTTTCAAGGCCAAACAGGGGAGTCAGATTCAGATAAGCAACAGTTGTTGATTTTTTCAGGCAGACCGTTTTTTCTTGTCAGCCTTGAGTCCTGCTGGTACTTTAAATCCAAAATGGCCAGATTTGTGGGCATTCCACTGATCTGTGCTATGAGCCTCCTTCAAGGTTGTCTCCAACATGCTGGTGAGTCCTAGAAGCCGCTGGTGGCCTGCGATTCTCACAAATCATTTCCATCTTATGGTTTAGCTCATAAATCAGCTGATTTTGAGTACTCATAGCACGACCCAAACTGTCAAGGCAGGCAGCCTGACGAGGGCCAAATTGGCTGCAGCCGTCTTCTTTGTATGTTGATAAACCAGGAACTAGCCAATTCCAAAAAACAGGAAACCTGTTATCATAAATCCATTTATTTATGTCTTCTGTGTCCTCCTGAGACAAAACGGAAAGACACATCAGCTCCCACATCCATGACGTATGCTGCAGCGTGAGTCTCAGCGGGACCTGAGGGCTCCCCAGGACCCGTCGCTTTGCTGAAAAGATTTTGTCGATGGTGTTGAAAGTCCAGCTCACCAGATCGATAATAGTATTTTTCTTTCAGAAGATGTGTAACAGGAGCTCCAAGACACAGGCCGAGAGCAAAAAAGCAGGAGGAAGAGGAGAACAGGGGAGGGAGAGAAAAGACGTCCGTCTTGTGCGAGAGCAATTGCAGACAAAAAAACTAGTATTAGTTTAGTAAACTAGTATTTTGTGAAAAATTACACATTGCCTGTGATGTTGCATGCCAAATTTTTAACCAGACATCTTGCTTGATCTGTTAGTGCTCAGAGTATTTGTTGAGGGTGACTCTCAGCTTCTACCACATCAAATTATAGCTTAATATCTGAACAACTGACTGAGTTATAGCCATTTTTGTTGGTTACGACTGATTAACGGCAGTGGCCATCTTGACTCAGGTTGACGCCAAAAGCCAAGTTGTTTTAGAAGTATTGTAGATCTAATGAATACTTTATGAGAGTTTTAATAAAATTAATTTTGTGGTTCACAAGATATTTGGCTAAAAGACAAATGAACACAGAACATGCATATAAACAAACACACCGTTACTTTAATTACAGCCTTTCTGATGGTGGGCGTTAGCTCTCTGCATGTAAACATGCACACAAACAGCACTATGACTAATAAATACAAATATGACCTGAAACCACGACTCCTGTTTGTTATTTCAGGGGAACATGAATGAGCGGACGGTGGCCTGGGTGTCCAACATGCCACACCTTTCTGCCGACATCGAGAGCCTGCGGCCGGACCGCGAGGGCCAGCTCAAAGAGTACTCCAAGAGCATGGACGAGTCACGACTTGACAGGGTCAGCATCTTTACCCCCCCCCCCCCCCCCATTTTTACAAAATAAAGCAGCTAACGTCAACAGCAGGTTCAGTTTGACGAGCAAAGCAACATGTCAATCACCTTTCAGGTACGAGAATATGAAGAGGAAATTTACTCTTTGAAGGAGCGCCTGAAGATGTCGCACCGCAAACTGGAAGAGTACGAGCAGAGACTGCTGTCCCAGGAGCAGCAGACGAGTAAGATCCTGCAGCAGTACCAGAACCGCCTGGAAGACAGCGAGCGCCGCCTGAAGCAGCAGCAGCTGGAGAAAGATTCTCAAATCAAAGGCATCATCAGCAGGTGATTAGTATTCAGGTAGAACTCAGAGCTGGCAGACATGAGGCAGTGTCAGCTTCGCTTGTATCAAATTTATCAAACGTGTATTATCCAGGTGAGTTTCACACCAGCTGCTACAGATTGTTCAGGTAATTCACATACAGTTTGTAACTTTAGTATAGAATTTAAATTAATATATTTAGGCTACGAGAGAAATACAACCAAGTTTAACTAGTAAAGAAACATATGTTGCACATAACAGAGTAACATTACATCAAATTGTTTGTAGACGTGTAAAAGTACAATTCTTTGATAAGGAATATTTATGTGTATGAGGTGGTGGAATAGTGACAACTGTAAATTAGCATGGACACAGCTAAACTAAAGGATAGTTCTCGTTTTTCTTCAAATTGAGTTCTGTGGAGTAATTGAGTAGTCAGTATCTTACGTGCAGCAGACAGCCGTCAGAATGATCCCCTTTTGGAGAATCAGGGAGAAATTCCCATGTTAGAGTCAAGCTAAAGGAAGACCAGTCAGTCTGAGCCAGGGGTCTGCAACCTTTTTGATCATAAGAGTCATTTTTGCCCCTTTGCTCGTTAAATAAAAAAGAGACAAGAGACAAAAAACCTGCTACAACTGTGATGATCAGCTGGTGGCCCATTTTGAGTTAGATGGAGGGGGATTTTCAGACCAGTAACATTTTAAAACTAAGAATCAACAATGAATTTCAACATTTTTTTCATATTTTTACATTTTGGAACAAAAATGTACAGAAGTAAAAATGTCTAGTTTCTACCTTTAGATGAAAATGAAAACACTGAACTCTGCAGGCCTATGTGGCCTTTTATGTGAGGAGATATTAAATATCCCACTTTGAAGTAATAAAGCAAAAAACAGTAGTGTCGCTCAAACATTTGCAGAAACTTGACAAAAAAATAGTTAAAACTAGCCTTTTTTGTTGTGGGTATAAAAACCAGAACAATTAGATTTCGTGTAAGTTTTGGTCAAAGCTTCATAGAGCCACAGATGAGGGACTAAAGAGCCACATGTGGCCCCAGAGCCACAGGTTGCTGACCCCTGGCCTAAGCCTATCTCAGACTGGATTTCAGATGTCCATAACATGTCACATTTTAAGAAATATAGTATTTGTGACAACCAATACATTATAAATTTTACAGCAGAATACTTGTGCATCATAAAGTTATGCAAACAGGGCTCATTTAACACAATTTGTTTCGCACAGGAGGTTTTACAATAGACGTTGGCCCCACATGGTTAGTTTGCAGCTTAAACAATTATAAACCTATTTGTAAATACCGGCTGGCATTTATAATTTATCTTTTAGATGTGCTATTGGTCAACATGGAAGATTCTGAATTCATTTTTAAATGTATAAAATGAATTTAGTTAATGAGAGATTTAGCAGAGTTGCTGCACAGCCTCGTTTGTCCTAGTAGAGTTACCGTAGCTGCTGTAGTTAAAACACTTTGCAGTTTTCACATCTTTTTCATCTTTTCTTCAAGATGTCTGCATATTATAGCTTACGATATCACGAAATGACTGTCTTTAGTAATGACTTGGAAACATTTGTTTATACATTTTAGCGACAATCAATAATCAAGATGCTAAATGCTTTTTATGTTGTTTTCAGTGTTAAGTTAGCATCTGTGCTAATTGTTGGTCAGCAGCTTGTGATGAATACAATTCTTTTGGCATGTGTTATTATGCACTTTTTATTATAGATAAATCAGTATTTATTCATGGAAGGTTTCATAACCATTTTACTTTACAAACTTGTATTTCTTTATGTCTGTATTTCAGTTTCACAGTGTCTGGGATAAATATTATAAGCTTACCAGCTGCCTCTTGGTATTTATTTTTGCCATTTATTTACAAACCTGAACATTTCAGATCATCAAAATGCAGCCTTCTGAATTGTAATCAAATCAAATCAAATTGAAAGGTGCCCAAAAGTTCCTTCCTCCTAGCAAACAACCATCTGATGCAACAGTGACTTGGTGTAAACATTTACATTAGTGCATTCACTTGAACTGCAATGAAACTTCTGAGGTTTATTATTTTAGATTAGTTGAAATCTGCTTTGAAATAGACTCCATTCTGAACAGCTGTTAGCTTGACTCCTTGTTAAGCATTTTTTTCCAACTGATTCCACAAACTAAGATCGCTCTGACTGCTGTCTTCTGCAGGTAAGACACTATTATTTTAAAAAGAAATCCACCAAATCATTTGAACCTTTTAAAAAGCTAAATTACCTCATTAAATGTGTTGTAGTTTTGATATGTTTGTAGAGCCTGCCTGGCATACTCATGAATGTTTGTGGTCCAAGTCAGTGCAGCTATAGTATGTACAAAGTATGATGCAGTGCATCACACTCTCGAAGAAATGGTAAAAGTTAACCAGCAGTTTTTCATTCAGGTTGTTTTCTTTCTGAAAACTTGTTAAAAAGGGTGTCTCTGATAAAAGCACTGTAAAAGCACAATATTGTTTTCATTCTGGAAGAGGTCATCAGGGGTGAAAATATTTGTATCTGTACACTAGGGATGCACAATATTATCGGCATCGTCTCCGTATCGGCCGATAATAGCGGATTAAATATCGGACATTGACCATTCTATCAAAATAATTCACCAATATAAAAGGCACTGTTTATATATATACAGTATATTAAAGACACTGTTTTTGTATAACTCAGTGACAAGGATGCCTGCAGCTCCAGCACAACGTCATGACATCACGCGTGCCATTGAGATTAGATTTGTACAAAGTAACAAATTTGTACTGTTTGAGTGTTGTCATTGTGTTAGAGAGAGTAAATGTCATGAATAAATTTGACATTAAACATAATTCAAGTTGAAGTGTTACATCATTTTCAGCCCCTTTTTTGGCATCTGCATTTGGTAGCAGGCCAAATTGACAAAGACCATGCAGAACAATGTAGTGTTTTAATTCCACAGCAGAGAAAGCTATGTAGTCTCTGTAAGTAGGTCTAGGGGAAAAAATTATCGATATTGGTATCAGTTATCGGCCAAATAAGTTTTTATATATCGGCATATCGGCAAAAAATCCAATATCGTGCATCCCTACTGCACACAGATCCTGCCATTAAGCACCGTGGCCTTATCTCCATAGGCAGACTCTGACCATCATCAGCAAAGTTTAATTGTGGACTTGCTGTTGTGGGATGAAGAAGACGAGTTCAGAGACAGAAACTGTGCTGAGAGTGGAGGAGATGTTGGAGTCAAGTATCAGTCAGTTGGTGGTAAAGTCCTTTAGACAGAAACAGGCGCAGATGAATTCTGACATGTTTCCACCACGCTCTGTCGGGGTCAGCATGAGGACTATTGGATCTCTTTGCTTTCTAAGTAAATTAATGAGGATCAAATATGGGAGAGTGGAGCTGATCATCAGGAAGTCCGCTGAAGCACTTCCTAATGATGGGTGTGAGAGCTACTGGACTGTCATTTGATCTGCCTTTTGGGATGATGACAGACTTTACAGAGAGCTGGAGCACACCAGGGACTGATTGAAGATATTTAGATAAATCCATACATGCTGGTTAGTTAATGCCCTCTTTTATGCACCCGCTCTCGACTGGATGCTTCACTAACCAGAACTTTTTTTACTTTTCACATTAATATTCAGCCAGCCTTTGGAGTTTAAATGACCTTATAGTGCACAGAGAACAAACTTGAAGCTGGGTAAGAGCGTCTTCAAGACCAGTTTAAATCCTTTCTGCCGAGTTTTGGTATTCTCCAAATCAGATTATTTGATATACCTTCTAGTCAGCCATTATGCTGTAAAACTGATTAATGTTTACAGCTATAAAATCAGCTTCCTTAAGGTGAACTCATTGTTTAAGCACTCAGCCTTGCTAAAGCTATGCACAGCTATAGCGAAGCCTAAATCAGACTAAATATATTAATGTGTGACAACTGTGTATAAACAGCCTTTATTGTAAGAAATAAAAGTGTATTAGGACTGCTGATGAATGCATCTATCAAATATAATTTATTCAAATAACTGTTCTACATTTTTTGCAGTCGTCATATTTGCTTTTTTTTTTTTAAAAGACACAACAATAATGTCATTAATTGGTTCATCCATTTAGCCAAGCAAGTCTTAAATAAGGGATAAAATAACTAAGTATATTAGTGTTTCTACAACTTTAAGATGAATTTTATAGAACTGTAATCTTAATTAGGATTCCTTAGTTGCTCTTACTGTGAACTGCTGAACATCAAATAGGCGTAGAAACATTTTTTTTCTTTTTTGTCTTTTGTAAAAATATGCTCACATGCTGCAACTGATAATACATGAACACGTACAAAATGTTCCGTTTTGTATTTTAATCATTTATTCTTATTTAAAACTGTACAGGTACAGTTGCATTTGCTACTTACTTATATTTACTACATAATAAATATGTATTGTTTTTAAAATAAAATGCAAAGATGATCAAAAGTAATATGAAATACTTAAAGTTTGTAATCCTATAAATTACCAGCAGAAAATTCTCAAAAGCTGTGTCATAGTGTAATAATTTGCTTTGTATACATAGCTTTTGTTTTGCATGCTTAAAATATTTACACCTCATTTTTTTTATCACTTTGTTTTCATTCACTTAATGCCTGGTTTATTAACACATGTTGGTGCTATTTTGTCCCAGTTAAGCGTCTTCGTTTGGACTCCTAATACTCAAAATTTTAAAGAAACCATGATTATTGTGCAATTACTTGCAGAAAAAAATCTCAAGCAAACAACGGCAGACTTAATATGTAGGATTGTTGCACCGATAGTGAGAAAAAACAACTTTTTATGTCTTTATGTCTGGATAGAGGTGTAGATTTTCCCATCAAACCTTCTAAAATGTATTCAAAGTCACTCAGTTTCCAATGCAGCAAATTAATATAATACATAAAAAAAAATCACACAAACCAGACTTGGTTAAAAATTAAAATGATAAAATAGACTTTGTGAGTTAATGTTTTAGTTATATAGCCTAAATACAGCAACAATGGGAAATAAATGCAATTATATTGTGATTGCAGCAGCTTTAAATGATGGCGCTCACATGTTATCATAACTGGATAGTAACCCAGCGAACACTTTACTATCCAACATGCTCGTTTTACATCTTTTGTATCTCAACAGCTGAATCTGATGGAAACTGAGATTCAGCTTCAAGAATCTTTAAGGATAGTTCAATAGTCCCACAAACGCGCCAAGACCTTAAAGGGTTAATTCAGATTATTTGATGTGGGCTTGTGGAAGCGTTCGGGGCAGATATTATCGTACCTGCTGCAGATTGTTCTCTGAACGGCCTCAGTTTAAAAAAAACTTAAAGGTTTTATTTTGGACTGAATTGAAAAAACAGTGGTTTGTCTGAGCATGTCCAAGACTAAAATGATTGCAGCCATCTTCAAATAATTCAGATTTAAATAATCTGTTTCATAAAATTTTAAACCACTGCCAATTTCACATTAAAGTAGTCCCTCGCTACTTCACGGTTTGACATTCGCAGACTCGCTCTTTTGCAGTTTTTCAAAAATAAGATTGGGACATGACACACAATTGGCTGATTGATGGATGAGCTGCACGAGCAGCATGAATTTTTTTATATAAAATAAATTATTTTAAATGATTTAGCACCTGCTGCACCTGTGTGCAGCCCATAGGTGCAGGGAGAAGCTCCCTCCTGCAACATGTCAAGATCTCCGCGCTCTTCTACCTGCCAGGATTGCAGTGGAGAAGTGGGCGTGGCCGAGAGCGGCAGGTGGCAGAGAGCGGAGATCATGCGATGCGCTTTTAGAAGGTTTAGAGTTTAGAAACATTGTTTAGAATATTGCAAGAGTGTGGGAAGGGTCTAAAACACCTTTATACATACATACATACATACATACATACATATATATATATATATATATATATATATATATATATATATATATAGATATACATATATGTAAATGAATTACTATTACTTGTGCTACTATTCCTACTTCATGGTTTTTCACTTAACGCTGAGGGGCTGGGAACGGAACCCCCGTGATAAACGAGGGACTAATGTACATTAATGTACATTGGTTTTTCTGGCTCATTTTCCTGCCAAAAGTGTCTAAAGATAATTCCACTCATCTATAGATTTATGCAGCCATTTCCTTCATCTGATTTTGCTTTACGGGTCGCGGGGGAGCCAGTACCTATTTCCAGCAGTCACTGTGTGAGAGAAAGGTTACACCACAAATAAGACAAACAACCATTCGCGCGCTCACTCGTACCTAAAGAAAATGAAGAGTAATCATGTAATCTGCATGTTTTGGGTTGGTGGGAGGAAACCAGAGTACTCGGAGAAAACATGCACATGGAGAACATGCAAACTCCACCCAGAAAAGTTCCAGGCTGGAAAGCGATCCTGTGACCTTCTTGCCATCAGGTGACAACATTTCATTTAAATAACCATGTAATGAGAAAGTGATGGCAATCTTAAAGTTTAGAAAGTAGCATTTAAATGCACC